TTACTAGTATCTATTTGAAATCCACTTGATATACAAATTAGGATTATATGCAACAATTAGTTCCTTGTTTATTCCTGTAATATCAGCAAGTCTCCATTTGAAAAAGTTTTTTGAGCAGTATTGCCGTCATTTGAATTTCCAGATCCTCCACATTTTGGGTAGTCAACAATAAGTCCCATTTTGTGTTGAAATTCTTTTTGTATCTTCATTTTTTGCTCTTTAACAAGAGATTTCTCTATGTCTCCTCTTGCTTGCCATTTTTTTTATTGGTATCTTATATGAAATATGTATAAGACAATCAAAAAATCTTATCCATGCATGAAGTGTAGATAATCCATACTGAAGCTCATCCGGTGAGTATGGAAGTTTCGTAACTTTGTCAATATTGTTCATGTCTTTTGGTGAACACCCACATATACAGCAACATTGACTAGAGCTTGGTACATTTGATAGAGCAGTATGGATTTTACCATCTATCATTGTAACTTGAATGATATGTTTGACTGAAATAGACTTGTCATTAGATAACTGAACAAAAGTTTCTACAAGATTTAAGATCTCGTCTTTCAAATTAGCTTCTTCAATAAGTAATAAATCAGTTGTTTCTTTTTCAAATTTAAATCTTAAAGGTCAGCAATATAAAGTGGAAGAAGGTTTTGGATTTCTCCAAATGACAGTTAGGGTTTCTCTAACATAAGTTGTAATCTGAAGTGGAACCAGGCAAGTTAAAAACAATGATTCTTCTCTTTTCAAGTTGCGAAAACTTTCAACAGACATTTTTTGTTTATATATGCTTTGACCAGTAGACCCATCAAAACCTGCTTTATAATGAAGAGATACCAGGTCAAATGTTTCTAGCATACATAAAAGCTCATTTTGAACTTGACAAAGTCTTTGAGCTGTATGGTCACATAAACTTTGCAGTGGTATACTTGCAGTATAGTCAGTAAAAATTATGTTATTAGGGTAGCACAAAAGTTTTGATGATTTTATATTTCTATATGCAGGATACAGGTTGCATTCTTTTTCAATTGCTGCATTTCTATGGAGTTGAAACGCAGCTTTGGTCATATTTGAATCTATCATTAACGACAATGCTTCATTTCCAGAAAGCATCAAAGAATCCACATTCTTATCTAAATATATTTTGTTGATTGCTTTAGCTTTTTCTATTTTTCCTTCTTTATTTATTGAAACTTTTGAAGCAAATATTAGCTCATTTGACGAGTGACCTTTTTGGAGTTTACTAACACGTCGATACTTAGTTCTTGAAGAACACTCTTGAAAGTCAGTAATTGTTGGTCGACCAGCGCTGGAAGTAGATTGAGAACTTGTAGGTATGGTTATTTTGCCTGCAGCAAAATCATTTAAATTAATTTCATTATCAAGCCATTTAGTATTGTTCTTAATAAATAAAGATTCTCTTCCTTTACAGACATTCCAGCGATATTTAAGATGTGCTAAAATGTTCATAAGTTTTGATCTCCGAACAATTTCATTGTTCTGATCAAGGGATAACTCAAAGAATGTTAGCAAATGAATATATGATTTCTCAGTATCTTGAGTAGAAATTTTATTATCTTTTAAAGAGTTGAAAAGATCAAAATATTTCATCTAAAAGCAAAATTGAAGTTATTACATCTTGCGGACAAGTGTCTGTAAAATATTATTAGTGCATACACTATATGTAAAAGCATTAGATATACTGAAAAGGTTATAAAAATATTTTTTTAAGGAGGAAAAGGAAGGGGGGGGGGAGGAGGGATGGAGGGAAAAAGATACCATATCAACAAGTATCATATATAACTAAAAAAGAAATAATTATTGAAACCTTTGGTAAAAAAAATCTTGCATAATTAATTTGCAGTTAAAAAGTCATTAAAAATATTTGAGTTTCAAGAACTTATGAAAAACGTGTTTTTGCAATAAATACTATGAATTGAGTATGAGTTATTTGTTATAACTTTATTAGTTGCAAAAAGTTGCAAAATATTTATGATAAATTGCAGTTAAGATACATTAAGCATCCGATTTACATAATCAAATGTTTGGAGGTTATTGGAGGACGGTTTATCTGATACCTAATAGTAAAGGTTAGTAGCAAAAAAAAATGCCAAAACTGCCTGTCACTGATGCATAAAAACTGAAGATTACACTTACGTTTAATTGTATTAAATAGTCAGAGCCAAAAAAGCAAAGTTAATTCAAATAATATATTTTAAAATCATACTCAATAAAATTAATTTAAAACAATAGTAGCGTAAGAAAGTTGATAATTAAAAAATGCAAAAAAGCATTTTGAAACACATGTCAAATTCACATGTATATAACCGCATAAAGCAACGTTTAAATTAATATTTAATGTTTTTTTAACTATATATTTCCTCTAATAAACATATTTTCACCATTATGGTATATTTTCAGAATACAATGCCGATAGTGATTTTTTTGTATTTTGGCACACTCTTTCCCACTGTGCAGCCCTGTGAATTTTCCAAGAAGTGTTTTTCCGTTAAGTTTTAGACAAATTTTCTATTGTATTAAGTTAATTTTGAAGAGATTTCATCAACAATTTGAATAAAACTTTTGATTTTTCTGTAATTTTATCTTGGCTTTCATTAATAAGCCATGGCTCATAATGAGCAGTAATTGGTTCAGCCTGATCTTTAGAAGTAAAGTAAAACTCATTTTCATATGCAGTGTCTGTTTTATTACAGTTCTCTGTTTTATCAATTTACCAACTAATAATTTTAAAAATAACAGCTTTTGATGCTAATTTATGTTATTAATTGGTTGGTTATGTTATTAATGGTATTAATGGTTATGTTATTAATGATATGGCTATGTTATTAATTGGTATTAGTTTATAATATTATTTGGCTTAGCCTGATCTTTAGAAGTAAAGTAAAACTCATTTTCATATGCAGTGTCTGTTTCATTACAGTTCTCTGTTTCATCAATTTACTAACTAATAATTTTAAAAACAACAGCTTTTGATGCTAATTTATGTATATTTCGATACGAATTCTCGGTTTTTCTATAACTTCGCTGGATCGATAGAAGCATAGATTAATAGAAGTATATCCTGTTAATTTTAAATTTATTTTACTTTTAAAAATTGGCAAAGTATTTTTTGATACTGGTTAACAAAAAAAACTATTTACCGTAAAAATTTAAAAAAATAGTACTCAATTTCTGAATTCTCCCAAATGTTTACGAAATATGTTGTCATGAAAGGGTCTAGAATGCCCCTGACCATATATAACCACACCTAAGTGTGTATATAATTAAGTATATTTAAATATATTAACCCTTTCCGGAAAGAACCAAAAGTCGAAATATTCTAAAGATATAATTAAAATAATTTTTTAAGCACCACTTCAAAAACATTAATGAAAGATTTTCACTGCAAATAATAGTCTTTTTTTGTGTGATAAATTTCAAAACAATTATCAGGGTGCAATCCTGGTTGTGATGGACAAATATCGACAAATATAAACAGTTTTAAGGGAATATCCTTTATCAGTCTTTTTACTATGTGCATAACAAATACGACATCTTTTATCACAACTTTTTTCATTTTTATCTGCAGAGTTTGTTATAATTGAAGGGAAGTGTCTACCAGTAAGGCAATCAACATCTCCAATGACCACCCTAAGGTTGTGGGGTATCTCTGGGTTTAGTGCAAAAACTAACTTGATGTTGCTGACTAAAAAATCTAAATATGATAAAGAGCTGCCGGTACACTAACTGTAAGTTTTATGTGAATTCAAAGACCACTGAAAAATTAACCTAAACACTACTTTCTTGTACCACTTATATGTTTTGCAAAGAGCTTGGATTCCATGGAGCTGCTGATCTACCCAGTCAACACCACCCATGTGCAAGTTGTAGGCTTTTATTGCTGATAGCTTCATGATTACTTTGCCGTCTCTGTCAGACTTTCCAGAATTAACCATCACTGAATTGTGGAAAGTTGATAACATATACAACTTTTTGTTTTTTATCAGATTTATCTTTCGCAGCACGATATTTGCAGGCTATCATTTTGTTTTCCAAGTTTATGGTTTCGTAAAAACAAGCAGTTCCTTTTTCAAGTTTCTCATTCACAATATTCTTGCAATATCCTTACGGTTAAAACAGAAAGTTCCACAAAGATAATTCTTTTTAGACAAAAGATAAGTAGCAAGGTAGGGGCTGGTGTAATAGTTGCCTAGTTTCAAAATTCTCTATAACAAAATCTACAAAATTTTCTTCATATTCTATAATGCTCTCAGAGTCACTAATTTCATTACAATCTTCATCACTTTCTGCATAACTTCAATAAGTAAAATCTTGTTCATATCTGTATAGTTATTTTTTTGAAGACATACACAAACATCTATTTTGAATCAATCTAGAAATGGAATTAACATGCGGTTTGAAGTAAAATCCGCTAAATTTTACAGCTAATAAGATTCCGGTTTACTAAACATCTTATACCGAATAAAATGTTTGTAAATTTAGGAAATATTGATGACCTGCTAGGTGGGTCAGTTGTCATATAGAAATGGTTTTCATGACCCGCCAGGCGAGTCAGTTGTCACGAAAGGGTTAAGAGACAGACACTCCTATGTCTGCTAACAAGTGAATAGATAAATAGATATAAACAAATGTTTTAAAATAGTTAAGATATGTCTTTTTTTTTCTTTTTAAACAACTTTATCTTCCCAAACTTCCTTAAGAGGCAACTACAGTAAAGTGTAAATGCAATTTATTTTATGTGTGCAATATATTCAATTGAATTGTAATAATGTTAAAGGAGTTTTTGAGTGATAAAGGAATGTAATTGTGTAAATACAAATCATTTTATGCATGATATTAAATTGAAATAGTGAGTTTGATATATCTTACAGAATGGGTGCATAATATTTTAAAATAACTTTAATTAAAAAATTTTTAAGAAAATATTTTAAAAAAATAATAATTTTTTAACTTTTTATACTTTTTTTTATGTTTAGTACAATCAATTACGTCTCGGTCATTGGCTAAAAGATCTTTATCACAGTAATGTTATTAATTCAGTTAATAATTAGTTTAGTTAATATGTTCACATTTTCTCTGATAAATAATTGTTATTGTGTCAAAAAAATTGATAAATGTGAACAAAAATAAAAAAATATGTTTTTTGTTGGTTTTTTTTTTTAAGCTGTATAAATCATTATTTATATAAAAAATAATTCTTCGCAATTTATCTTTAAAATCAGATTTTTGCCAAGCTTTCAAGCTCAAATGGTAATAAAGTATGACATGTTATCAGCCTCAACATCAGGACTAGGTATGTAGATGTTAAAAAGTGTTTTGCATATTTCAGAAGAAAAAGTTTTAAATATAATAAATTTAATGGTAAGTATCTTGTTTCCATCACCTTTTGTTCTCAGCTTATAATTGTTTTGTTTATTCAAAGCATACTTAAAGAGGGCATTCTGATATTTTATTTACTGATTCTTAAGTGTTATATTTAGCAGATTTTTTTATGTAATTTGGAGTTCACCAAATTCTTATTATAATGAAATAAATCAAAGAAAAGCAGTTCTCTGTCTCATTTGAATCCTAACATGAAGACAATAAAAATGTTTTATGTCATAAAATAAGTTTTTTAAGTTTTCAAATAGTTAAATTTTAAAAAATTTTAAAACAATATTCAATGATAAAATTAGGTGCCTGTAATGAGTAAGCAAATATTATGTTGGCTCAAAAGAGCTATAATTGAGTTAGTCTATATAAGTAAAGGAAAAATAATATATAAGACAATAGTATGCAGGCCTAAGCAGGAATGACAAGTAGTTGTCTGTGTCTGTTTCCACAACTGTGTATGTCAGTTTACAAGAGCAAAATATAGCCTGTGCAAAATACAATTTTTTTTTTTTTAACACAGCAAAATTTATTGTTTTTTAAGTTGACAGCTTGAAGCGATATTTTATTTTAATTTTTTTTTTTAAATCTAGAGCATTAAATTATCACTTTAATAAGTATTACTTAATTATGCAATAATGATAAAAATGTTAGCAAAAAAATGTTTATTCTTTAAAATTACTTTTTTGTGAAGGTTTTATAACTATTGAGCTTTAACAGTTTTTTAAAAACTTTTTAAAAATAAAATATATAGTTAACCTACTCAAAATTTATTCTAAAAATAAATGAACTTTTTAATTCACTTTTTTTTCTTAAAGTTGCGTTTTTAACTTTTTATGTAAAATATGACTTATTTAAAAGTGGAAATAACATATTTATACACGCTTATTAATTTAAATAAAATCCTTTTTTATAAACAGTTTAAAAATTTGTTTAAATTTAAATAATTTAACACAAAAACAATTTTAAAAGTATTGAACTGATTCATTCAAGTTTTAATTACTAAAGCCTTTTCTTATAATTTGTCCAATTTGCTTGGAGCTATTTCAGTGCTATTTTTAAACATTTCAAATTTAAGAAAAAATTTACAAAGAAGAGTAATGAATAAACTTTTTATAAATTATATATGAAAATAGGAAGAAAAAAGTTGTGGAACAAAATATTTATTTCCAATCTATTAATATATCACAATTTATTAAAACAATCAATTGTTTTAATAAAAAGCGAGTGGTTCTGAGTTCAATTCCTGCCACGTCCCTGGCAGTACTGCGCTCAACTTGTTTCTCTGCGCAGCGACCTTGTTCGTCAAGGTTCGTTTCAGAGTTATAGAGTTGAGAGAAGGTTGTTACCACAAATAAGTAGCCTCCTTGTCTGTAGTGGCTTTCTCGGCCTTGAGGAGTTGAATTTAATTAAAAAAAAAAAAAGTTTAAGAGTTAAAAAAATTTGGTCAATACAACATTCTTTTTAACAATTTTTATAGAACATTACGATGCTTTAATAAATATCGACAACCATTGCTTACGATTGTTTTTCTGATGTGTTTATGATTCAAATTGTGATACAAAACATTATAGTGTAACTAACAAAAGTATTATTAAAGCATAATCAATTATCATAATCATTTCAGGTTTTTTATCAAAAAACCTGGAAAAATTCTGGTCGCCCGTGCAAGTACTATCTTTTCATTCTTTATTTTACTGTTTAATTTATAATCATATATAAATGGCACAGCATTGGCCTGTGATAAGAATAAAATGTCAATCCAGAAGATTTCACCAATGATTTATGGCTTCAACTATTGCTTGAGCTTCTTTTTCCACTGATAAATAGTTCACTTTCTTGAAGATGTTTGTGAATGGAAGGCAAAAGATTTTCCATCTTGGTTAAGTGTCGCTAATATGGCAAAATCAGAAGCTAATATGGAAGAATCAGTAAAAGGGATAATCTCATTAATGGTTTGCATCAAATTGAACAATCTCATTTTTTAAGTTTTCAAGTTTTTCAGTTTTAAGCTGATATTTGTTGTTGATTGAGTGAGATTTGGGTAACACAATTTCATAGTCAAATTTCCATAGTCAAATCAGAAAATTTTTCCAATACATTTTGTGCAGTATGAGATCATTCCAATAATCCGTTGCAGAGACTTAGCCTTATCAGGTGGAGGGTAACCCAAAAAATCAGTGTCAGTTAAAAAAACACATTTTTCATCATTAAATGTAATTCAGCATCTTTAACAGCTATTCTGAATTTATGCAAGTTTTCATCATGCTTTTTCTGGCTATTACGATATATAGTTATGTTATCAATGAATGGGAAGCAGTCACTTAGCATAAGTCTTAACTTGTCCATTGTTCATTCCAAAAAGCATTTTAGAGTATTGTCACAGTTTATTGTCAGCTTTGAAAGCACTATATGGCTGATTGCTTTTGAATAAAGCTATTTATTAGTAAGCAGAACAAAGGTCTAGAATACTCACAATCACTTTAATCTTAGGTAAAGGATATGCAACTAATCTATCATCTGGGTATGTATATTAACAGTTTCAGAATAATTGACTACCACCTGATACTTAGTTTTTTCATTTACTTATAAAACTTTAGCATGTCAAGGTAATTTAAGTGACTATTATTCCTGCTTCAACCAAAGGATGAGTTTCAGATTTAATAAATTCGTTATCTCTTTGAGAATAATGTTGAGATCTGTTAACAATAAGTCAATCTTTTGTTAGATTAGTAAACAATCCTGGAGGCTCAGTTTTCACTGTTGTAAGAGCTGCAAAGGTGGTATTAAATGTGAGCTAATAAATATGGTGGTCGATTTCCACCATATTCAATGGCAATACTTTTATGCAACTTTTAAAAATCTGTTCCAAGAATGATATCTATATATAAGTTATCCAGCTTATGCAGTTTGACTTATAGAATTATATAGAATTATAGATTTTGTTTTAAAGAGTTTATTGCAACAATATGTTTTTTAACTTATTTAAGAATTGGTCTGTTGATTCACCAGTTTTCTGCTTACATGTAAATAAAATAATTCTTTGGTTTTATATAGACTCAAATTCATCACTTTGAACTATATTCATACACATTAGGTTCAATATGATTAATTAGTAGATTGAGCTTCATTTTATTATCAGTAATTATACTTATAAAGTTGTAAAATGTTTTGAACCTTGCTGTATCTGTTGTATTAGTCTATATAAAAAAGGAAAAATATAAAAATTGTTGTATACATAATGTAAATTTTACAAACATATATATATATATATATATATATATATATATATATATATATATATATATATATATATATATATATATATATATATATATATATATTAGGGTGTCCCAAAAAACAACATTTTTAAAAACAATCTGCTCTCACCCCCTAAATATGTTCTATCTAATGCAAAAACACTAGGTTTAAATTTTTTTTGAATAAAAAATATTTTAAGGGGTCCCTCAAGACCCTCGAATGTTTAATGGGTCCCTAATATTTTCGATAAAAAAGTTTTTCAAAAATATGTCAACCTGGTACTCAAATGAAGCGAGATTATATAAAAATTTTAAAAATAATATTCATTTCAAAACAAAATTGTTATTTTTGGTTTTATTACATAAAAAAATTGCGTATTTTAAAATATATATATATATATATATATATATATATATATATATATATATATATATATATATATATATATATATATATTAAGGTGGTGCTAAAAACTGTTTTTTTGAAACTTGTTAAAAATATAAATCATTTTATAAATAAAATATTATTTTAGATTTTTTAAAATAAAAAATGATTTTTTTTTTTAACAAAAATAGGGAATTCAACAAGATTTTATTATTTAAATTTTTTTTTTTTTTTTTATTAATTTTTTATTATAAAATGATTCATATTTTTGAAATTTTATATAATTTTGCTTCCTACATGACATACTTTTAAAAACTTTTTTTTGATAATATTAGGGACCTGTTTGATGTGGCACCCCCGAAAATATTTTTAAATCCAGTATTATTTTATTATACAAAACACATTTAGGGGAATCAGCAGACCAAGTTTTTTAGGATTTTAAATTTTAATCTTTTATTTTTTAAAGGTAATAGCTTAGTTTCTAAAGTGCAAGCATTGCAGCTGGCTTTGAACGAAACTGACGTGACTTCCGTAGATGAAAGTGAAGAAGACGACGAAGCTACATTATATATATTGAGTGATATGTTTTCAGTGCTAAACCTTCAGATTGATGGAGGATAGACTAAGGTGGATTTCAAATCCCAGATAGTTTGAAATCAACATCCATTTAAAACATGGTTAGTTAGAATTTTTTATCACGAACGTTATCCCGGAATTGGCATATTTTCTATATTTGTTTCTAGTAGTTTTTAAACTTTAAAAAAAAACTTTTCTAATATTTCAAAATATAAATAAAAATAATTTCAATAACATGTTTCTTTTAGTCAAACAATTTTAATTATATACGGACAACTAATTTCATTTTTTAAATTTTGTAACCAACTAGAGCTAATACCTAAGTTATTGGCTTCTATCAGAATAAATATTAAATTAGGATGACTCCCAAGATCACATTTTTAACTCAGTCGTGTTGCCAACGTTTCCAAGATTTACACGGTTTCAAATCATGTTTTTCTTCTCTAAAAAAAAAAACTTGATCTATATAAATTTGCCCTCAGTATCGAAATTAGACAATTCAGAAAAGTTTTAATATTAGTAATAGAAGTAAACAAGTCACACTAATATAAAAATAACCTGTGCACGTGTTCGAGATACACAATAAACTGGCCAACGATTATCGAATGTCAACATGCGCAAAAACGACATTACTTTCCGGTCAACCTAATATTAACTCATTTAAATTTTCGGCAAATTTGAACAGCAATAATTAATAACAATACTAAAAATATTGTTTCTCGCAACCGTTATTTTCGGTATTTACTTACTATAAAAAGTAATATTTTTTTTTATTGTGGTGCCACTGAGGAAATAATAGACAAGTTTTAATTATTGCATTTGGAATGTCAATACACATATTGACATGTAACAACCTAATTATTATAAGTTTAAATCATTATCTATGAGATATCTTAAGTATTTTGAAGAGTCGAATTTTTTTTAGAAATATTGCTAGCCCGCAGCTGATGGAAGCCAGAAACTTAATATGCTCTTTTTTTTTGGTGGGATTAAAAATATAGTACTTACAACAACTCTGTCTTGTGAAGTTATAAATGTTTTTGCGTATTAAAGATACTTTGCTGACTAAAACATAATTCCATCAAACAATCTAATTACAGAAATAATAAGTTTTTGTTGTATTTTCTGAATGAAAGATATATACTTTTCAGATTTTATTCTTATATAAAATAATTATCGACAAATTTCGTACTTGCACTTAATATTTGACGTAACATAATATTAAATTATATCTGAACTAAAAAAGAACCCAGACCAAGTATTAATTTTTTTTTTTTCATTTTTTAAAAATTAAATCTTTAAATAAATAACGTTTTTCAGGTTCAATGCAACCCCCTCAAATTGAGGGTGTTTAAACTTTATATGGTTATAATTTTTGAACGCTGAGAGATAAGACTATGAAACTTAACATTTATCGATAAATATAAGTCTAGTTGAAAATAGTACAAAAACTATTTTATCAACTTGTTGCTCTCACGTTTGGGATAGTGTCGGCCAAATTTTTGGGTTCTTTTGTTCCCAAAAAATGTTTTTGCAAAGCATCCTTATTTTACATAAGTATAAACATTATTAGTTTAAGCGTGAACTTAAGCAGTTAATATTACTGTTATTTAACTGTTTAAGTTCAGTATATAAGCAGCATTTAGTTTAAGCGTGAACTTAAGCATTAAACATTAAATTACTAACACATGTAAAAAACTACTAACACATTTAAAGTTTGGTCATCACCAAAAAAAATGCCATGTCTGGAAAAAAAGTTGAGTTGATAATGGTATATACAAGGAATTCCAACTATCTTTTTTGTAAACCTTTAAAGACTTACTTTTCTTGTAAACTTATTTTGCCATGTATATATGCCATGTCTGGAAGTTAGCTATCTCTCTAAAATGCCATGTCTGGAAGTTAGCTATCTCAAAGACCAAAAAATGCTGGCGCCACTGTTTAAAACCCTCAATAAAATTTTTTGTGACCTACAGGTCATAAAACTTTTTTATTGTAACTAAAAGGCAACTAAATACATTTTTTTGAATCGGATAATGGATTTCAAGCTGAATTATTTCAAACATTGTTGCTTGTATGTGTGTCAATCAATCCAGTATTACTTTAAATGTTAAGTAGCAGAGTGGTTTTTTGTTTTGTTTTTGTCGGTGTGTATACCAGTTCCCGGTGCTTCTTTCGTTTTTAGCTCGTATACCATCATACCATGTGTTGTGCAATTCTGAATTCTGACAAAATAAATGTAGCTAAGAAGTTTACCAATCATCATAGTTATCGAATAGTTAAATCATCGTTCAACTACTTGATCTATCAACTTTAAGTAATCTAGTTTTTTTGGTTAAAAACCGTGATACGGTGGAATAAGTGTCTATTTCGGTGGAAAGTGTGAACAATATAGTGATTAGTGAAAAGTTGAATTAGTTAGATTTGCATTTATTAAATTTCTTTTTTTCCATTTAGCCGATCATCTTTATTTTTTATCCAAAAAATACTCAAAATTGATGATCTAGTTCAACTATTAAATTGCCATTTTATCTTTAATTATAAACAAAAATGTCTACCCAGCACATTTACAAATTTTTTTACTGTCAGAGAAAGCTGTCGCTATCATCTACGATCTGCTAATAGCTATAATCTTCATGTACCAAATCATTCTTCTGTAAAATATGGTCTAAAATCCATAAAATACCTAAGTGTAAAATCATGGAACAGTCTATCTTCACCATTAAAATCAATTGACTCTATTGCTAATTTCAAAAACTGTCTTTTTAACTATTTTTTAGCAAGATATTATACCTGAAGACTCTGAAATATGTTGTTGTGCTTTTATTATTACTACTTTCTTGATACCTACTAGTTTTATTATTACCTTTTTGTTCTCATATTTTTATTGTTATTATTAGTATTGATATTAATAATATTTTTCTATCTTTATTAGTAAATTGTTATTTTTATTTATAACATAATAAGTATTATTATTGCTTTTTTAATTTTTTCTTAAGTTTATTTACTACTTATACTACGTAATTGTTATTACCACTATTATTGCTATTATCTAATATTGGTTGTATAATATCTTTATTATTATTGTTAGTATTATTACTAATAATATTTCTTTTCATCGTCATCTTATTATTATTGATAATATTATTTCTATAATTATTATCAATACCATTTTTATTGTTATTATGATCACTTTTATTGTAATGTTGCAGGTTTTTACTTTAGATTAGTACTTGTACTATTTGTAAAAGTCCTTGAAATTTTACAACTTATTTCAGAATATATTGAATTGAATTGAGTCATTAGAAATTCAACCACTTTCCCAGTTGATTACTACTACACATCTCAAGGTTGAAACGCCATGTCCGGTTTTTAAAGGCAATAAAAAAGCTGCTGAGAACGTTGTAAAAGAAGACTAAAACAAAAATACACTGGAAGTAACCCTAACCCTAACCCTGTGGCTTCAAGAAAATTCCAAAAAAAAAAAGGCGTTTAGTAACTCTACGTCCGACCAAGTAGTCCAGGTACACATTTTTTTCCCGATTCAAAGTAAAAAAAAAGTTTATTAACTCTGAAAATGAAATCTTTTACTAACTTAAAAAAGCCAAAGTCAAGTTTACTATATAGTCTAATTAAAAACACAAAAAATATAAAAAGACTGTCAACAAAAACGCTGCATTAAATGTTTTAAGCTAATCACTTCTACGAAAAAAATTACTTGATTGCCTTATAACAAAAATTGAATGTGACATTTGTAAAATTGCCTTCAAAACAATTTCCTATAGAAAATTATTAATGACTCGAATATTGTCTGTGAAATGTATTAACGATTGCAACTGTACAATTCTTTTGTACTTCCGCACAAAGAAATTCTTGCGAAAGTAAATATTCAAGAGAAAAAACGAACAGCTTAACATTTTTCAGGTTATACAGTTATTATTAAATATTCTAAGAAAATATGAAAGTGGAGCCTTTAAAAGGAGATTGAAGAAAGATAGAGAGGAAATGGTAGGTAAACCTCTAAAAATGACAATTTTTTTTCATCAAACCAAATCAATATGCAATTTCCACAAACTGTAGAAAATAATAAAAACGATGAAAGAAAAGATGAAAACAATAACATGAAAAATGAGGTAGCCTGCCTCGATTCTTCTAATAAAATTCGCGAAAATGAAAGTGTTGAATCTACAATGCGAAATAATGAACTTGACTCAGGTACTTCAATTTTCACTATCCTTAATGACACTTCTTCAGGCTTGTGGAGCCGACTGTTTTTTTTTTTTTTTTACGGCTCGGGTACGGCTCCTAAGAAATCCGTTTCCGGCTCGGCTCCCGGCTTGGCTCCTGACTCGGCTCCGGCTGCCAAACTTTATGAACAAAAATTGCAAGTTTTGGAATATATTTCGATTACATTTGCTAACCCAAACCTTCCCAATTATAGCAATTAATTTTTTACCAACTCTCATGATTATAATGTTACTGTATTACTATCACTACTCTGCTACCGAATATTATAATTGAAAAGAAAAATGTTTTGGGTAAATAAACACTTTTTTGTATATATTATTTACCCGTGCCCACTGGGTATCTAGACGTTGAAAAGACGTTCAAAACGCTTCGAAAACGTTTAAAAGACCTCTTTTGTAAGTCCCGTACTCACTGGGTAGAACATACGATCGTTAAATTCGTTAAAATGTTTTTAGTCCTTAAAAAATTTTTATTTTTCTTTTATACATAGTTACTTAACTTACGACAACATCATATGGGCAAGTACTAACCACACTAAGCTAAAAAAACTTTATAGCAAACAAAAACATGCTGTTAGAATCGTATTTGGAGTAGAGCGATTCCTTGTGAACCTCTTTTACGTATAACTTGTGCCTTGAATATTTTTAAACTTAATACCCATCTTGTTCTACAGTTCATGGATAAAATAAAATATGGGCTGTCCCCAAAAATCTTTGAAACTTATTTTAAAGAAATACACCATAAATATGCTACAAGATTTTCCGCAAACCACTTTGCTATTCCAAAATCTCATTCTAAACAGAATTCTTATTCAATTCTGAATCGCGGAACACTTTTGTGGAAAAGATTCCCAAACATTGTTTCCGAAAAGAAAACTTCTCTACATCAGTTCAAAACTGATTCAAAACATTTTTTATTATATTAGTTTTTATCAAACACAGATTTTGATTTATTTTATTATAAGTCTTTTAAAATAGATCAGATATATCAATTATAAATAGGTAACTGTTCCTTGTAATCATTAAAAAAAAAGTTAAAAATTAATTGACAATAACCATTACCACAAATCACATTTTCTCGCTTTTTATTTTTTGTGTGTATATATTTATTTATTTATTTTTTTCTTCTCCAGGTATACTATATAAAATATACATTTATTATCGTGATAAAAAAAAATATATAAATAAAATTATTACGTATCAGATTGATAAAAATACATTAATATAACTTTGATACATTAATATAGTATTGATGCAAACTTAATATAAATTCTGGTATAATAACTATTATATATATATTTATTTTTTTCTATACTTTAATACCTAAAAAAAGGAAATCAAAGAAGATTCAGCATTTTTGGGTATAAAACTCCATAAAAAAATCTTTTCGCAGATTCCCTTATATTTATACTCATGTATGTGTATATTTGTACTTATTTATGTGTGTATGTGTGTATGAGTATATGTATATGTATATGTATATTAGAGTGGTTCAAAAAACAACATTTTTGAAAAAATTCTGCTCCTACCCCCTAAATTTGTTCTATTTAATACAAAAACACTAGGTTTAATTTTTTTTTGAATAAAAAATATTTTTTAAGGGTGCCGCCAGACCCTCGAATATTTACCGGGTCCCTAATATTTTCAAAAAAAAAAATTCTCAAAAATAGGTAAACCTGGTACTCAAATGAAGTGAAATTATATAAAAATTTCAAAAATAATATTCATTTAAATAAAATATTGTTATATTAAGTTTTATTACATAA